CTGAAAATCCACTGGAGGGTCAGCTGTGAGTCGGTTCAGACTTGATGGCACACAACAAATGTGTGTGTGTGTGTGTGTGTGTGTGTGTGTGTGTGCAATTTATATATATATAAAATGTGGCGATCCATATAATTTAACTTTTAACATACTCATATATGTTCAAGGTAAGATTGTTAAACACCGCTTAACAGCTTCAAAACAGGAACTACTTTGCCAAGCAAACCAAGAGAATGGAGGGAAATTATCATTTCACTGCAAGAGTTTGAGATAGCAGCTGGGCAACTTCCAAATACAGTTGGTGTTTATTTGTTTGTTGTTGTTAGTTTATTCCCTAATCCTACCCAAAAAAGGACTGGAACCCCAACTCCAAACTTTAGTTTCTCCCTTCTATGATGCTGGCAGGATTCCACAAAATAAAACCGAAGAAAATGACAATAATTATGCAACATTCAGAACAAAGAACACGCGAATATATTTTTTTAAATGATTCATTGTGCACTTATGCCTGTAATGGGATTTTAACGCACTGTAAAAAAAATAATAAGTGTGCTGGCTCACTCAGCTTCTCACGCAAATGAAACGCAGGGCGATGAATAACTCGGAGATGGGGTGAGTTTGGGGTTTGTGTTGGCTTTTTTTTTTCTCTTCCAGAAGGAGGGGAAGTGTGAAGGAAAACCACAGCATATAAAGCAATGTGCTTCTTTAATCACAGACAGAGCAACACAGCCTGTGGATGCCTCCCACAGCTCAGAGGGTCCTGGGACCTCAGCCCAGCTGACCACACCACAGGTAAACTATGGCCTAAACTAAGAGACAAGCTTATTACATGATGGTTCTCTTTCTATTTCACACCAATCTTAGCAATTTCTAGAGGGTTTGGGAGGTGGGAAGAGAATATAAATTCCAGCCACTCAAGATTCTTTGGAAATCTTTTGGAATTATGTTTCCTCTACATGTCTATAAAAGATTTGTCGGATACATAACTCTTACAACTGGAGACGCAACAAGTTCCTATCTTATTTGTATACCCACACACTTACATGTTTCTCTTTGTCTCCCTGAGCCTGACATTTGGCCAGCAGGCTTTTCTCCCCCTTATTTGAAACCTCAAGCACCGAAAAAATTTGGATCTGATTATTTCCGGATCACAGGACCAGCACTTTAAAATTTAAAATGGATGAAATGCAAGCAAATTGCCCACCAGAGCCAGAGGGGGAGAAATACTTCAAAAATAACCCATATCTTGCTATTACAGATGCACTAGCCCCTCCGACGCCTCCCCTCAACATCACAGTGGTGTCTGGCAAATGCGGACTTTTCCAGGTACCCAAAACCTCATCATGTCTTCTCTCCACTGACACAGCCCAGCCAACTCCTAACACCCAAATACACAATTTCCTTTTCCCTTCTTTTTTTAAGAACATAAAAGTCCACCTTTTAAAAAAAAAATATTACTTTTTGGACATTTATAATCATGTTTTGGTGGCTGTTTATTAATGATAGAGCTCATTTATTTTATCACAATCATCAGCCTCCTTTTTCTTTCTAAGAAAGGGCTCACATACGGTGGAAAGGCTCAGTGAGTCGCCGTGAGGTAATAGTGACTTCATTATCTGGTTTGGTCTCAGAACAGCAACCCTGGGCGAATGGAAACATCTGGTAAGAAGTCTTAACTATGGCATAGTTAGCCAACTTCCAAAGATTCAAGACAGGAGAAATATTAAAAGGAAAAATACTTTTAAATTCTCTGGGAACATTCTGGAGGCCTCCATGGCAAATGTCAGCTCTCGGTCCCCACCATCCATAAAGAAGGTCAAAGTGACAGCAGCACAATTGACTACTTGGAACTAGAAGCTTTGACAAACTGCCACTCACTGTCTCTGTAACTTTGAGCAAATCCTTAAACCTGTCCCTATCTTTAAAAAGTTTAAAAAGTGGGCATCATATCAGTAAGAGGCGATGTTTGCCCAGTTCTTTACAGAGTGCACAGTGCCGGTCCATCTGTTCCCTCAGAGCAGCCCACAAGGTAGGCAGAGCACAGCTGGTGTGAGGGCAGGATGAGGTAATGTGTGGGAAACACGCTGAAAACTGTAAAGCACTGTGCACGGGAACCAGCGTCATTAGGCATCGCCACAAAGCTGTCTGCTTGCATAAAGCCCAGATGTTTACCTTCTTTCCTTGTCAGGACTTATAAAAGCAGAGTGTCGGGTGTTTAAAAATAAGAAAGAAAAATGCAGCATCTGGTAATTTGGCCTTTCCAAATGTTTGGAATCTGGATAAACGGGACGCTGCCATAAACAGATCGTGATTCTGATTGTAAATGATGACAGCGTTAGCGCATGACGTCGCACCATCCTCAGTGCCTCCTGACCCCAGATCTGGAAATACACAGAATCCCAACATTCAGAGGTAAGCTACAGGATTCAACAAGTGACTCCCAGCCTGTGCTTAGGGTCTGTCCAAGGCAGAAGGCTGATCGTCTGAAACCTGACTCTAGACCAGGCTTTCTCTCCCATCACTGGGTAGCAGTGGCCACAAAAAACCTGAGGCTTGGCTGCTCTGGGCTTCTCACGCTCAACCTTTTGAAAAGCAAACTCTTCTCCCTCTTTGCTCTGTTCTCTTTATCTCAAATGTTGCTGGCCGGAGACTGATGCCTTGCACAAATGAGTAAAATCTATCTTTTATACCCTGTTAGTTTACAAGACAAACTCCTCTTGCAATACTGTTTTGTTTACCACAGAAGACAGTCATTATTATCTATTGTGGAAATGAAACACCAGGAGTTGAGAACATGAAACATATTACAATAACCAGGCACTGAGCCTGGTCACTTCACATTTATGCAGTCTTTCAAAGAAAGTCTCACAGTGAATTTACAAATGAGGAGATTAAAACTCAGAGGACTGATATCTGTCTCACAGATTCTAGGTAGTAGGGTCTTACAATTTCCAGCACGGTCAATAAATATTTCTCAGTTGGTATTTCCATCTGTCTGTTTTCAATAAGCCAATCGTTCGAAGGGAGGCATCAAACATGCAAAGAGTTGCAAAAGCTAGAGAAAAGATTAATGGAGGGAGAGGCAGTAAGACAGTGCCATTTCCTTGTGTCATTTTTAAGAAGGCCATCAAAGCTCTGCTTGGAAGCTAATTTAGTCTCAGGCCACTTGGTGACTAGACTGTGAGGATGAACTTGCTCGAAACCTCTCCAGCCCAGTCCCCATTTAACATGCAGCCCAGATCTCCAGTCCTGACCTGCTAAGTGACTTTTTACAGGACACGTCTCCTACTGACAGGCCTCAGTTTCTCCAAATAGCTTCATCAGGAGGCTCTGAAGAAAATGATTGTGAAGGCTCTTGGGAAAAGGTTAATCAGAGAGTAACTGCCTTTTCTCCATCCCTTTAACCTTCTCTGTCCTTTCTAAATACAATCCTAACTTAAAGATCTCATATTTTAGACATGGGATGGGGAATGGAAGTAGGAAGATCATACAGCAACTAGATGAAAGGTTTCTATCACCACTGCTTTGGAGCAATGGCACCATTTGATGTATGTACTGAGGACTCAGTAGGATAGTAGGTGATAGTCACTACATTTTAAATGCAAAATATTAAAAGAAGGTATCTGTTTAGCAGGTCACTGTGCGTGGAAAGGGGCGAGCCAGGAGGCTTGCCACAGCAAGCATAACTAATAGCTGCACACTGTCCCTCTCTCACTGCTGAGAGAACCTCAAGTGTAATTCCTACACTACTACTCTGCAGACATTTTCTTCCACATCTGTCCTACTAAAAAAAAAATCACCTCTATCTCTTAGAAAAGAGGATAACTATTTTTTTTTAATTAGACCCAAAAAAAATAACACTTTCTCCTAAAGTCAGGTGGTCTGGGTTTTGGGCTTTTAAGGGGAGGGCTATTCATATTTATTTAATTTTGCCAGTCTCTAAATTTGGGAACTGGATTTTTTTCTCACTTTTTTTTTTTATTATTATTACCCAGAAGGAGTTCTCATCTCTAAAAGTAAGCCAGCCAACCTGTTCTACGTTCTCAGGCTAATGCTAACAGAGTGATGCCTACAGAGCTAAAAAACACAAATAGGTTTTTATTTTTCTCTTCCTCTGGAAATAGAATGAAGAGGTCTCAAATGCTGATCTAACCAAAATGCAAGGCCAGAGTTTCTCCTAGAAGAGAGGGGGGAAAAGTGAAGGGAGGCAAGGGCCTTAACAGATTTCCCTAATTTCTGGTTAATTATCTGTCAGCATGAAAGTTAGAAATAACATCTCAATAATAATTAACTGCCATGAGAAGAACATACTCAGGAATATCCCAGCATCCCTGCTGAATTCACGTCCATAGGCTGTGCTGGGCTCTGTGTCTTCATCTCCACAGATTTGCTGAGTAGAGGAAGAACACTGACAAAGTAACTTTTGACTGAATGTTATATTTTTGAATGGTCATGTCTAGATAAGACAGTTTTAAGTCAGGACTCGACTCAAAAAAAAAAAGGACTCGACTCAAGTCGGATTATGGATTCATAAAGTTTTCTGGCAGAAATCCAGACATCATCTGGTCTAATTCCTCACTTGACAGATGGGGAAACTGAGGTCCCAAGAGGAGAGAAGTCGTGCTGAAGGCCTCTGGTTTTCGTTATTTAGGGAGACTGGAATACTTCAAAATATGCCTTTAGCTGACTCAGAGATAGAGGGGCTCGACGTTACTGGTGAACTACAAAGAGCCTTAATTTATAATAAGATTGTGACAAGTTTCATACAACTTTTATCAGAAACATACGGAAGCAAAATGATGTAACTTGAGCTTTCTGGAGATACATCCCCTCCCACCCCAAAACAGGCTTATCACACTTTAAATTGGATGCTTCCTACACCCAGGAATCACTTCAGATTGACAATCCAGTCTCAAAAGAAGTAGGGTGAAAATCCCACCAAATTCGGCGGAGACTCCCTACAAAGGCGCGCTGCTGGGAGGACGCTGCGGGGCCGGACTCACCCTTCCCGGCGGCGGCCTTGGACTGACTGTAGTCTCGGGGGCTCCGCGGCCGGAGGAGGTCGTGGGCGCGCGGCAGAGGCGCGAGCGTCCGGGGTAGCAGGTCCCGAGAGCTCGCATCCCCGCAGCCGCCGCCGCCCACGGTGACCCTGAAGGCCATATGCGCGCCGAGAGCAGTGGGCCCACGGCCGGGACCGGGCACGCCGGGCACCTCCTTGGGCCTCTTGTCCGAGTGCGCCTCGGCCACCTCGCAGTGCATGGCGCCAGGCGCGCGGGGACCTGCAGACGGGAGACACCAAACGCACGTTAGAATCCAAGAAGCGAGCCCTTTAGACAAGTCACCATCCCTCAGTTGACTCCTCACCCGCCTCTAAAATGGGTTCGCGCCCCCACGTACCCAAACTGGAGCTCAAACCCACCTGATGCATCATAAAAAGCCCCTCGCTTCCTTCCCTGCCTCCTTGAGCGCCTCAGCCTCCCAGGCGCGTCCCTGCGAAGCCCCTGCGCTGCAATTCCGCACCAGCCCTCTTAAGACGAATGAGGAAACTGAGGCCAGGAAAGGGAAGGGAGCCTGCCTGGTGTCAGCCAGTGCGACCAAGACAGGGTAGACAGGAGATGCAAAGCCACAGAAATGGCTCCAGCGGATAACCAACTGCGCTCCTCGTGGGTTCTCCCCACCCGGCTGCGCGCAGAGGCCCTGCACTGCTCACCCACGGATCCAGGGCTCAGATACCCCGTTACACCCGTGAACCCCCGAAACTGGAGAATGGGAATCGGAGGATAGGCGCTGACTCTTGTGACGTGGACTCACCACGAGCACAGTGAGCCTTTCCCGCGCACATCAGAGAACGTGAACCCATTTCCCGCTCGCAAAACCCACGAAGACACAGTCAGCGAAGTCTTTGCACGAAGTAATCCCAAGCACACCAGCAAACCCAAACCCACTGCTGACGAGGGCAATACGATTCCCCGCGGCTCTGTCACTCACTCACACACACACACACACACACACACACACACACACACACACGATTCCCCGCGGCTCTGTCACTCTCTCTCTCTCTCTCTCACACACACACACACACACACACACACACGTGTAAATACAAACTCCAGGTCACTACGTGCCACAGATAATACTTTCACTCATTCGCTCACTCCGATACGCAACACAAACAGCCACACAGTCTCACATGCTCCAAAACACACCACGCTAGGTGTCCCAGCGCCAAGGCTTCGGTTCTTCCCTCCATCACCTCTTCTGGAATGAGGGCCCGGGGCCCCCAAACTCTCGTCTCCCCTAGACATTCTCGGCCCTATCTCAAAGTTCCCGAGCTCAAGCACCGCCAGGATCCAAGTCCCGGGTCTGGCGCCCGCGGCCCCCTCCTCACCTCGCCGCAGTCGCAGCAGCTCGCGGGGCGAACCGCACCGCGCGCCTCCACTGGCGCCGCAGCCCCCGCCGCCGCCGCCGCGTCCTGCGGGGCGGCACCCCGGGGGGTAGGGGCGGGGCCGCCGCCTGCCCGACAGCAGCTCCGACCACTGGCTCGCGGCGGCGGCCCCACCTCAGCCAATCGTGGCGCGGGGGCGGAGCGTCCTCCCTGGGGGCCGGGGCGGGACGGCGAGGGTCTAGGCCGAGGTTTTGACAGGCGGCAGCGGGTTGGAGCCGGGTGCTGCCTGTGGCTCTCAGACCTCGGAGCACCGGAGACCTGCGCAGAGTCGGCGGAGCACACCGGTGTAGAGGACGTCCCGGCTCAGCCCGGCGCTGCCCCGCCTCCGCCCCTTCCAGCAGGATCCTGCCTCTCTCCAGGTCAGTTTTCCCTCAGTACCTGCGGATGCAGGGATAATCGTTCAAAATGCTTGAGAAGTTTTCTTGCAGAATCCAACTTACTCGCTTGAGAGAACTCGCATAGAATTCAAAGTGAATGGAACCTAAACCCAGAAATTCTCGGCCACTTTTCTTACGCTTTTACAAAAGGAAGGGGAAGGAAAGCGGCGTGTCGGAATCCCTCCTAGAGACTATTTTCATTTAGTCTGTTTCAAGAGTAAAGCCCCACAACTAGATTTTTAGTGCCTTCCTGGGCGATTCTTAAGACTCTCCGAAATTGAGGCCCTGTCATTTAAAGTGCCCCGATCTGTGTTCCTTTCTGCTGCCTTCTAGGCTAACACACTCACAGCAAGTCACGGGCCTTGCCTGAGCAGTGGACAAAAAATATAAAGACTTCACAAGAACTGAAAGAAATAACTCAGTTCTCCTCTCTGAGCTTCCGTTTCCTCTTTGTAAAATGGGGGTGTTACAATGGAATACTATGCTGCATTGAAAAACAAAGAACTCATGCAATATTATTCAAAATGGGTGAACCTGGAGGACATTATGCTGAGTGAGGTATCTCAGTCACAAAGGGACAAATGCTATATGGTGCCACTGTTGTAGAATGAGGCTGGCATTGGGGTGGGGGTAAGACTGAGAAAAACTGGATGAAATATGTTTACGGCATTGAAGTCTATAGGGGAGAGAATAGTCTAAAAGTATTATATTTTAGGTCATTATTTTTATCGTAGGAGTATGCAATGAGGGTTGTAGAGTGGATTATATTTGGGGCTAGGGGGTGGGGTTGGGGGAGTGTGGGGGGGATTGTGTACCAATGAGGGAGTTTTTCTTTTGTGTTTCAAGGAGAGGAGCAAATGGGGGGGAGGGGGGAGGGGTTTGTGCGGGGAGAAGGGTGCAACAATGACTGAATGAAATCCCAAAATCTCTGTAGATGTTCATTGAAATGAAAAATAAACAACCTAAATTTAAAAAAAAAAAATGGGGGTGTTAGCCCCTCCATGGCCTACCTGTCAGCGCTATTGAAGGATCCAGGCAGTCCCAGAGATGAGTCTCTGCGTTTTATTCCTACTTGCTTCCTCTGCACCATTTTCAGGCGATCTGAGCTGACACCAAAGACGCCTGCCTAGCTTTGCATCCTCAGAAAGAAGGGGTCCAGTCTCAAATTGAAACATGAGTACTGAACCCAATCGTACTACCACAACAGGTCAAGCATTACATGGGATTCTGCACAAATTATTTTTGGAATCTTGGAAACCCAAGACTTTAGAATCATAAAACTGTAAAATTCTATTTCATATAATTTATTAAATATACTGTATCCTAATTAGAAATCAATAATGCTAGGAAAGTCTTAGAGATTTAGTTAGCCCATCCCCATTTTCAGAAAGGGGGATGTGACTGGTCCACATCCATGTCCTGCAGTGTGACTGGCCTTCTGATTTTTCGTCCTGTGCTTTTTCTCCTATACCACCTACCAGTTACAGGACATCACTCCTGCTTACAAAATATAGGTCAAAGACTACATGAAGTTGTTGGGTGCTCTACAATCAAGTGTGACTCATAGTGACCATATAACAACAGATCTGAAACCTCTCCTACTGTGTGCCATCCTCACAATCTCTGACACACTCAAGCCTATTGCTACAGTCACTGTGTCAGTCCACCTGGTTGAGGGTCTTCCTCTCTTTCGACATCCCTCCACCATCCCAAGCATGATGCCCCCTCCTCCAAGGAGCACTCTGGCTGCACCTTCTCCAAGAGACATCTGTTATCCTGGCAGTCTATGGTATCTTCAGTACTCTTCTCCAACACCACAGATTAGGCATTCTTATTCTGTAACCTTTTTTCACTGTCCAGCTCTCTGAAACATAACAAGTGATTGAAAATACCATGGCCTGAATAGGTGCACCTTACTGTTGTTGTTGTGTACCATTGAGTCAGAACCAACCCATAGCTGACCTACTTGGTGGGTTTTCAGAGGTGGTAATCACCCATCCTTCTCTTGCAGAGCGGCTAGGGGCCTGGAACCCCATGCCTTCAGGATTCCAGCACAGCTTCTTGCCACTAGGCCACCAGTCCTCAAAATAACATCACTGTTCCTCAATAATTTTGAGAGTCTGACTACAGACTTTCCTGGTGTAATATGTCTCCTGATCCCCTGACTGCTGGTTTTAAGTCTGTTGATGGTGGATCCAAGATGAAGTCATTGACAATTTCAATCTTTTCTCCAGCCATCATGAGGTTGCCTATCGGTCCAGTGGTGAGGTTTTTTTTTTCTTGATGCTGAGATGCCATCCACATCTGTAGTCTTTGATCATCTGCAGCCAGTGCTTCAAGAGCTCCTCACTTTCAGCAAGCAATGTTGTGTCATCTGCATAATAAAGGTTACTGATTAGTCTTCCTCTAATCCTGATGTCACATTCTTCTTCATGGACTTCAGCTTCTCAAATAATTGGCTTAGCATGCAGATTGAATAAGTATAGAGAAAGGATACAATCTGGATGCACACCTTTCCTAGTTTAAACCATCCAGTGTTTCCTCACTCTGCACAATAGCCTCTTGGTCTAAGTATAGGTTTTGCATAAGCACAGTTACATGTTCTGGGACTCCCATTCTTCTCAATGTTAGCCATAAATTTTTACAATCCTCACACTCAAATTCCTTTACATAGTCAGTAAATCACAAATAGACTTTCTCCTAGTATTCTTTGCTTTCAGTCAGAATTCATGTGACATTAGTAATGATATCCCTAGTGCCAAGACCACTTCTAAATCCAGCTTGAACTAGTACTTTTTTAATGATCTTCAGCAGTATTTTGCTTACATCTGATATTAATGATGTTGTTCAAGGATTTCCACATTCTGGTGGATCACCTTTCTTGGGAATGGGAATAAATATGGATCTTTTCCAGTTAGTTGGCCAGACAGCTGTCCTCCAAATTTCCTGACACAGACTCCTGAGCATATCCAGGGCTGCATCTGTCATTTGAAACATGCTAATTGGTATCCCATTGATTCATGAGACCTTTTTTCCCCAGTGCCTTCAGTGCAGCTTGAACTTCTTCATTATCTTGATCATATGGTACTTCATGAAATATTTCGGTGCCAGACAATTCTTTTTGGTACAGTGATTATGTGTATTCCCTCCATCTTGTTTTGATGTTTCCTGAATCATTCAAGATTTTTCCCATAACATACCTAAGTATTGAAACTCAAGGCTTGAATTTGCTTTATAGTTAGTTCTTTTAGTTTGAAAACTGCCAGACGAGTTCTTCCCTTTTTATTCTCCAACTCTAGGTTCTGAATATTCCATTTTAATACTTTGTCTTCTCGAGCTGCCCTTTGAAATCCTCTGTTCAGCTCTTTTACTTCAGCATCTCCTCTGTTTCGGCTTCTCAATGCTCTAGTGCAATTTTCAGGGTCTCTTCTGAC